GTTTGATGGAAGAGATCCTAGGGGTAGCGCAGCTGGATCGCCGCCGCAGGGCATGTACGGTACCCCTGAATTAACTCGATATAATACTCCGCAAGCATATCAACCACGAGGTCCACCGATGCCCCCAACGGACGAGAGAAGAGAACCGCCGGGACGGATCTCTACCGCTAGCGTACCTCCTAGACCGAACAGTCAGCCGAGATCGTACCACGGTATGGGCCCGAGATCGGTAGATATGGGGAGAGGTCCTCCACCCGGAGATCCTAGAGATCCTATGTATGCTAGGCGAGAAGAAGCGCGACCTCCTCCCCCGACGGAATACAACCCAGAGCGACTACCTCGAGGTATGCCGATGGAAGAACAACGTCGCTTCGTCATGGAACGAGAGCTTAGGGAGGCAGAGTTTCGGGAAAGAGAATTCCAAGAAAGAGAGCTACGAGAACGAGAGATGCGGGAACAAAACTTACGAGAGAGGGAACATCGTGAGAGGGAGAGAAGACATTACGAAGAACAGCGCCCGTTTATGGCCGAGCGTGAACGTATCGAGCGGGAGAGGGAAAGAGAACGTGAAATAGAAAGGCAGAGAGAAAGAGAAAGGGAAAGCAATAGAGAAATGGAGATGCGCGAGAGGGCCAGAAGAGAAAGAACCACGTCTGACCCGAATCGACCACCTCACGGTCAACACCCGGCCGAACTCGGTCCTCAGGTGCTCGGGCGACAGCCGCCTTATGGAAGACCGGGACCGGGACCAGGACCAGGACCTGGACCTGACCCTCGAGATCCAGCAGCGTGGCAACAGCGGCCTGGATATGATCAGCCACCGCCGCCGAGAGATGCCTATGGTCCACCTCAACCCTATCCCGGCCCGCGACCTGGCGAGTTTCCTACAACAACGGCCGCACCATACGGAGCACATCCTGCCTACGCACAACCTCCTCCGCACGAACGTTTTCCAGCGACTGGACCACCTCCTCACGTGATACCCGTGAGCCAACCAGGCCCACAGCCTGCGCATCCCTTCGAGTCTCCTGACAGACATCGGTTTGTTCAGGCACACCCTCAACAACAACAACCGCCGCCGTCAGCAGCTCCTCGAGCTCGACCTCACGAAGAAGGACCGCCTCCACCGTCAGTGGCGTACAATGGCGGACCCGGTGCTGCTGCCTTTGAGGCGGGCCGCCCACGTATGATGGACGAGGGACCGCATCCGGCTGGGCATCCGAGAGGGTTTCTGGGCGTTCAGGAGATCAACCGCAAAGGACGGGTATCTCCGTTGCCTCAGGCAGTCCAGGGCGCGCAACCCCAACTGCAGGGCCCTGCCGGCGAGCCCGGGATTAAGAGTGAATTCGGCCGCATGTTCTCCGGCATAGGAAGCGGAGTGCGCGGTATCGGTGTCTCTAGCCCAGTGCCTGCCGGCATGCAACCCCCGTTCTCCAACGCGGGCCCTGCACGGCGTGATGATGAGCATCCTGGTCATGAGCTACTTGTGGACGCGCCGGTCAAGGCTACGAGAGGAAAACGGAGAAAGGCTAAAGACGACGACGGTAAAGGTGATGAGGATAGCACCGGCAGGAACACACCGGTCGGCCGGAAGCGTCCCAAGACTCATGCTCATCACCACCATCACCAGTAAGTACTAACTCTTATATATATACTTCTGACTTCGGCCAGTATTCATTGTAATCTCTTTTTTAGTCATCATCATCACCACCATCATGGCGCGGAGAGAACCACGTCGCCCGTCCAGGCGGCGAATGGACAGCTCAAAAATGTCAAGACTAGCACTCCGATCCCATCTCCAACGCGCAAAGACTTTGCTACTGCTTTCACTCACCATCACCAACCTCCTAGGTCAGCTGCGGCTCCCTCCAAGCCAGCGGCACCGCCCGGCTCGACTGTTGTCCCCAAGCCGAAACACAAGGTCTCGTCCCAAGCGGTCCTCGATAGCGTCGCGGATCGGCCCCGAAAGCACCTAGGCGATGTCGTCTACCAAGTGGTTTTGAAGCCTTCCAAATTAGACTCGTCTCATTCCAAGTTTGGCTATTCGTCTAATCCACGCCCGCTCCCCATGGAGGTGATCAAGGGCAACGAGAACTCTACCTTGACCGTCAAGATCCCCCGCGTGCACCTGAGCCCGACCGCTCGCGAGGAGATCACATCTCGTCGCGCCATTTGGGGTACGGACGTGTACACGGACGACTCGGACGTCGTGGCCGCATGTATTCATGCAGGCTGGATCCGGGGCGAATGGGGCGACGATGTCGACGTCGACTTACTAGAGCTTTACAAACCCGCAACGACGTCTAAGAAGCGAAGCGCCGCACCTGTCGAGCAGCATCTCGAGGTGCTCACCTCACCACCCCTTTCGGGCCCCGTCCACGTGCCCGCGGATCGCGATCTACACGTGACGCTCCTGATCCTGCCGGCGCTCGAGAAGTACGGCAGCTCGACGCGGTTCGGGATGCAGAGCCGCGAGTTCGGCGGCACGTACAACGGCCGCAAGTCGATCCACGACGGTATTAGTTTCATGATCACGAGCGTGCGGTGGGTGGACGGCGCGGCGCCGCAGAGCCGACTCCGCGGCAAGGCGCGCCGCGAGCGCATCCGCAAGGCCATGAGCGAGGTCAACCGCAGCCAGGTCGTGGACATGGGCGAGAAGGAGATCCTGAGCAAGATGGCGGCTGCGAGCCGGGACATCGGCGGCGCGAAGGAGAAGAGCGGCGGCGCGAACGGAAACGGGAACGGGAACGGGAATGGAGAGGGGAACAAGGAGAACCGCCCTGCTACTACTGCTGTGACAAATGGTAATGGGAACGGCGCCGTTCCGTCGCCGCCGGGCCAGGAAAAGCGAAAGCCGAGCCCCGATTCGAAGGAGAAGAGCAGCGAGGCGGAGGGCCCAGGCGCGATGACGGCTGGTGCGGCGCCTGTCCCTGCGGCGGGGGATGCGTCGGAGAAGCGCGAGGTGGGCGGTGCTGCACCTGTGGACGCTTCTGCGTAACTGGAGTCTGGGCTCGTCGGTATAGATGGGTATACGGACATGGAATATAAGAACAGGAGAACGGGATAGAAGGGGGGATATATCGAACACCGGCTTTCAGCAGGGGGGTACATGCTCGAAGGTTGGAACTCGAGCTGAAACATACCTGTCTAGGTACCTACCCACCGAACTATATGCGCCGATAGTAGACGATGATCTATCCGGCTCAGCGTTGCTTTTCTTCTTCGCTTCCCTTCCCTTTTCTGCTTTTTATCTGCGTCTTCATGATTTTTTTCTCGGTGTTCGGGATTTTCCTGTCCCGTCGCGGCTACGTTGTCTGTCGTCCAAGATACCTCTTCCTCCTCTAACGAACGGCCTTGCTTTATTCCTGTATCTACCTACCTATCTGTCTTGTCGTAGGGGGGTCTGTCCGAGGTATATCAGGTAGCATAGCGTGGAGTTCTGAGATACAGAAATATGATGATATTTACTCATGATGTGTGTCTGTTGAGCTTGGCTTATGTGTGAGATTCATTTGGTGTAAGGACAATTCTACAGCACTTGAGAATCTTAGTTGAAGCTATTTACGATTGAGTCAATATTTGTATATTCAGTTCGGTTGCTATGTCCCTAGTAAACACTTTTGTGGCATTTCTGTATGGGATGATTCTGGGCTCTATCCACATTCATACACCTTTAGGAAGGACACCATCGGTTCCGTTGCAAGTCTTTTTTCGTTCGGGCATCCCATTCCGTTTTGTCTCATCCCGGATCCAGAGCATATCGCTAGTCATGTGGGTTACCTAGGTGTCATCTAGTTTTCTTGTATTACCGATGAGCATAAGCTAATGAGTGGCATACGCCTTCGGATGCAGGACTTCTTTCGTTGACTGTAGGACGATTTCCCGGATCGCGAAGATATCGGATCGAATGAGTATAGTGGACTGCCAATGAATAGTAGAGAGTTGTTATTCTTCCTCTTTCATGATCAATCGATTGTCCACAGCCGAAGACCTTCTCCTTCTTTTCGACTTCTCTTCACGAACCTAGGGTCTCCTGTAACCAGGCGAGTATGAGGTTCTACTCAATTTGGATATCTTCACGATGCAATCAAAAATCCGTAACCCGCCCATTATAGCTATAATCGCCCCCGGCGCCCCACCGCAACGGCTCGTTCTTCGGGCCGCCGACCTCGCCCGTCTTGGGATTCACGTCGCCCTCGAACTCGGGCGGCGCGCCCTTGCGCAGCGGCACCGAGGCAAATTCGTCTGGTATCGCGGGTGTCGCGGCGGTTCTGCCGTCTACTGCTGTGGTGGGACTGGTGGTAGTGGATGGGGAAGGGGAGGGGGAGGAAGAGGAGAAGTCGGGCGTCGAGGTCGCGTTGAAGCCCTCTTGGGTGTTGGCCGTGCGCTGCAGACGCTCGAACTCGGCTTGCTGGGAGGCGGGGAGGCGGGGCGGGGCGGGCATGGAATCGAAGGGGTTGTTGGAGGCGTGGCGCATAGATATAAGAGGTGCTATTGATACATGGTGTCGGAGGGCGAGGGGCGGCGCGAGACGGGTGAGACGGGATGCCATTGCGGGTTTCGATTCTGCTGGTGTGGATTTGTAGGTGGTGTGTACATGTAGGAATTGACGGTGGGTGTGCACGCTTTGTTAGGTACATGTAGGTATTTGATAGTCTGATTAATAAATTAGATGACGTTTTATATCATAGATTCATCACAAGTGGCAACTGCGAGGAGTCGGGGATAAACTTCCGGGTGATGCCGTCCAGCGTACACTTGGCGGGTTTACCTCGGCACGGAGGTTGCTACCTGCTTTTCCTCATTCTCCAACGGGGGTGCTTCTGATTGGCTCAATGCTTTGCGCACTGCAGATCTGCCCGAAATTTTTTATGCTGTGGTTTTTTCTTCGTTTTATATGGGAAGATGCACGCAACTGTTCTGATATGTTATGAATTAGTGACCAAAAAAGAGAACCCAAAGTACAATACGAAAAGATTAGTTCTGAGGAGGAAAAAAATCGAGCTCAGCAGGGATCGAACCTGCAATCTTTAGAGGACTGTGTGCCGTGGGATAGGAACCGAAATCTAACGCCTTACCATTAGGCCATGAGCCCAACCCGATGTTCGTGGGAGAACGATGAATGTAACCCTTGCAATTGCCTATGATATAATGGCAGAGGCTAAGCACAGTGGATACTGTGGGAATGACATTGAACATATTTGTCCTCTACAATCATGTGGCCTAGTGTTTTCGAGGGTTGTCCCCTGCGAGCATCTTTAGACGTTGCAGTAGGGCTTAGTCTAACAAACGATGCCTGTCGTCTATCTCTTACAAAAGTAATCTCATCATGACCAAGGGAGACAAACAAACCAAGTATGATCTATATATACTACTTTATCATAAAAGGACTTGGATCTTATTCACACAACTATGTATGACTTATAAATTTTGAGTGCGTACGTATGTATTGCACCGTATGTATTAATGCGAATGGATATGACTCTTCCACTGGTAGCTGCATCCGGATGTGGCAATGAAGAGTTATGCACTAAACGTGTGTTACTAATCATGTCACTCGATGGATCTGGTTGGTCCCTTGCATTTTTAACCGTCGGCAGGGACTGCCCACCCATTCGGGAGATGGCCGAGACGGTACAACCTAGAACGTGCAGGGGCGAGAAGGAAGGTACCTACAGGCTACAGGTAGGATCTACAGGTGCAGGTGCAGGTGCGGCGTAGGTGGGATGGTGGGGTTCTGTAAGACTGTAAGACTGCGGTAAGACTGTGCCTCTTCCTCCGGTCATCGCTTTTGGCTTTTGGGGAAAATAGCAAATATTCGTTGACTCAGTCACTCTTCTTATTCCAAAATTCCCATTCCCATAAAGAGTCACGGTTATCCTTTGAATTTCTTCCTCTTCTCATTCTTTTAATTGAAACCAATTCATTCTGGTTAAACAAGATGGAGGGTCTTAAACAGGCATTCAGACGTTGCAAGGAAGAGAAGAGAGTATGATTCACTTCCTCTACTATCTGATATTTACTATCTACACGATAGCTTCATATCGCATATCGTCGCCCATTCGTCCAAGACACCAACTAATTCGCAAACAAATATAGGCGGCCTTTGTCACATATGTCACGGCTGGTTACCCTGATCCCGCATCGGCGGCGGCTGTATTGAAGGGAATGCAAGATGGAGGTGCCGGTACGTAGTGGCAAACACACCCATGATACAATCACATAATGCGCACACGATACAAGCCAATTATGGTGAGCACTAGTAACGTAAACTAACACGGCGTAGACATCATCGAGCTCGGTGTGCCCTTCACGGATCCCATCGCAGACGGCCCGACCATTCAGACTTCTAACACCGTCGCCCTCAAGCACGGCGTGACCATCAAGTCCACCTTGGGCATGGTGAGAGAGGCTCGAGCTAATGGCTTAAAAGTGCCTGTTCTGCTGATGGGTTACTACAACCCTCTCCTTAGCTACGGCGAAGACGCTCTTCTTCGCGACTGCAAAAAGGCTGGTGTCAACGGCTTCATCGTCTGCGACCTGCCACCCGAGGAAGCCGTCTCGTTCCGCAAGCTGTGTAGCAAGGGACAGTTATCCTATGTACCCCTGATCGCACCATCTACCTCCGACACTCGCATGCGCCTACTTTGTGGCCTTGCTGATTCCTTCATCTACGTTGTCTCACGCATGGGCGTCACCGGCGCTCTCGGTACTCTTAACGCCGACCTGCCGCAGCTGCTCGACCGCGTCAAGAAGTATAGCGGTAACAAACCGGCTGCTGTTGGTTTTGGTGTCTCCACGCGCGAACACTTCCAGTCCGTGGCTGCCATTGCCGACGGTGTCGTCATTGGTTCGCAGATCATCACCGTCCTCCAACAGGCCGAAGAAGGTCTCGGCGGCAAGGCTGTCGAGGAATACTGTGCCTACGTCACTGGCCGAGATCAGAACCAGACAACCAGAGAGGTGGGCGTGGTAGAGGCTATCAGTGCTGCTAAGGAGCCTAGCGGTGATGATGTATCGGTGGAGGGTGTCATCTCGGAGCACGACGACGCCGCCTTGGTTGCGCAACTTGCAGCGCTGCATGGCAAGATACCGGAGCGATTCGGCGAGTATGGTGGCCAGTATGTGCCCGAGTCTCTTATGGACTGCTTGTCCCAGCTGGAAGAAGGTTTCAATGCTATCAAGGACGACCCCAAGTTCTGGGAGGAGTATAGATCTCACTACCCCTGGATGGGACGACCGGGCCAGCTACATTTGGCCGAGCGACTGACGGAGCATGCCGGCGGCGCCAATATCTGGCTGAAGAGAGAGGACCTGAACCACACCGGTTCTCACAAGATCAACAACGCTTTGGGTCAGATTCTGCTAGCGAAGCGACTAGGCAAGACGAAGATCATTGCCGAAACGGGAGCTGGCCAACACGGTGTCGCAACGGCTACTGTTTGCGCCAAATTTGGCATGGAATGTACGGTTTTCATGGGTGCTGTAAGTTTTCATGTGTTTCCCTTATTATGACCTAACAATGACTTATAAATTATGATAGGAGGATGTCCGCCGTCAAGCACTGAACGTGTTCCGAATGCGCCTTCTTGGTGCCAAGGTCATTGCCGTCGAAGCCGGTAGCAGAACGTTGCGAGATGCCGTCAACGAAGCCCTTCGATACTGGGTTGTCCATCTAGATGACACCCATTATATCATTGGATCTGCGATTGGACCGCATCCCTTCCCCACCATTGTTCGGACGTTCCAGTCTGTCATTGGCAACGAGACGAAGGCCCAGATGTTGGAGAAGCGAGGCAAGTTGCCTGACGCTGTTGTGGCTTGTGTAGGCGGAGGCAGCAATGCTGTCGGCATGTTCTACCCCTTCTCCAACGATCCTAGTGTCAAGCTTCTAGGTGTCGAAGCTGGTGGCGACGGTGTCAACACGGCCCGACACTCGGCTACCTTGACTGGAGGCTCCAAGGGTGTTCTTCACGGTGTGAGAACATATGTGTTGCAGAACGAGCACGGCCAGATCTCGGACACACATTCGGTCTCGGCAGGACTCGACTACCCGGGTGTCGGCCCGGAGCTGTCGAACTGGAAGGACTCCGAGCGCGCCAAGTTCATCGCGGCTACCGACGCCGAGGCCTTTGTCGGTTTCCGACTGATGAGCCAGCTAGAAGGCATCATCCCCGCGCTTGAGTCGGCGCACGGAATCTATGGCGCCCTGGAGCTGGCCAAGACGATGAAGAAGGACGAGGACGTGGTCATCTGCCTCAGCGGGCGAGGTGACAAGGATGTACAGAGTGTGGCGGACGAGCTGCCGAAGCTGGGCCCGCAGATCGGCTGGGACTTGCGTTTCTAGGAGGATGTCTATGTTCCCAGCCCTCCTCGAGCTGTCACCCCCCTTAACACCCCTGAAGTTGCTAGCCCTGGAGTTGGTAGCCCTGGATCTGCTGGCTCCGGATCTGTTAGCTCTAGGGCTACTCCCTTTAGATCTACCACCCCTAGATCTGGTAGCTCTAGAGCTCCTAGCCCTCGAGCCCGCAGCGCCGGAGCTCCTAGCCCCGAACCTCGACCGCAGCACGGGCAACTGTACGAGGTTCGCGACGACTGGGGTGACGACGTGGCAGATGCTAATATTCTGGAGTTCTGAAGAATTCTGAAATAGTCTAGGTCTGGATGGATGAAGTCGGCGTCAGGAACCAGGATTAAAGGAACGGATTAAGGCAAAAGCAAAAGCAAAGGCAAAAGTATGAGCAAAAGTAAACAAAAGGAGGTGATGATTGATACAGGGTAGAAAGTTGCATCGAGCATTTGCATTCGGAGTGCGTCTAGTAGATTCTTTTGCTCTTCCTATGGTACAATGCTACCCCTTTCCCCCTTATAGTCTGACTTCGTGATATTGTGATGCTTGTCTTTTTCCACGTAGTCATAAACCCATACATACACACATTCTGTACGTTTGTAAGTTGAAGGTGAGTGATATGACTCATAGGTTTGGCTGCTTGGGCTTCGGCTCTTCCTCCATGAAACTCGCCCCCTTCCCCTCCTGAACGACTTCGGCATCCCCCTTGCCCACCCTATCCTCCCCCTCCCGCACCTCGCCGATAACAAACTCCTCGTCGCGCGCTATCATGCCATCGACCTCGTTCAGCACCGCCTCGGACGTAACCCCCTCCTTCGCCAACGCCTCCGGCAGCCCCTCGGCCTCGCGCTCCTCCTTGGGCGGCAACCCCAGCGCCTCCCTCTCGCGGGCGAACCGCGCCCGGACCGCGTCCGTCTGCATGATCTTCCACCTGAGCGCCCAGCCCGCGGGCCCGAGGTCCTTGACGCGCCGCGCCTTGCCGCCGAGCAGGTACTCGTCGACGCCGCCGAGCCGGTCGACGGTGCGCAGCACGCGCGCGGTCATCCTCGTGCGCACGAAGGCGTGCAGGGCGGGCGACCACAGGCGCTTGGTGTGGCGGTTGGGCAGCCAGCGCGCGCGCGACTTGTTGCCGTGGCGCGCGGCCACCACGTTGCCGAAGCGCGTCTTGGCGCCCGCGAACAGGCCCTGGTTCGCCTGCTTGTAGGTCCGCAGGGGCCCGTACGGGTACGCGGGGAGCTGCGCCGCGGGCACGGTCAGGTGCGAGGGCTTTTGCCGGCAGAGGGTGGGGGACGTGGTTAGGCTGCGTATCGGTGTTTGAAAAGGGGGTTGTGTACGAGTAAAGGTAGGTGTAGGTGTGGTGGAAGAGAGGAGACACCGCGATGGTGCGGCGGCGATGCGTAGAGGCGGCATCTTGGGAGCCGGGCGTTCGCTTGGCTGGTGATTTGTGTGGGGTATGTTATATCGGCAGCATCGATGCCGTGTAAGATCCGTATACAAGTCGGACGGGTGAGATGGACGTCGAATTGGTGGTGAGCTTTAGATATACTAAAGCTTCGGAGATGGAATGGAAGATTTCTTATCCTGTCGTTATTGAGACTCTCTTCCTGCATATTTAGTGTTTATGCAATGGGTAGTATTAGCTTGTTTAATTGATGAAAGTCATGTGACATCGCACCGTGTTCGTGATATCTTCTTATCAATACCGATTTACAAGTCGCGGGGTTCTCACCTCACCGCTGTCACTT